GGCCGCTCGCCTGAGTGGAGGGAGCGCGGCCGACCGTGAGCCGCCCCCGTTGCCCTGAGGACGGGCGGCAGCCGCAGAGCTGTCCGTTGCGCGGCGCGGGTGGGGCGGTTGGAAGGCGGCGCCGCGGGCAGCTCGTAACCGGCGGTGGTCCCTTTTCGGCGAGGGTGGCTCTGTGCGGCTCCCGCCTCTCTCTTTCGTGGTTTTTTTTTTTTTTTCTCCTGAGTTCTAAGCCATTACTATCAGTACGGATCCACGACAGTAGTAACCAGGCAAATTTAAAAGGATACCATTTGGGATAATTAGGTCGAGCGGTTTCTGATGAGCCATTGGTGAAGTGAAAGAAAACCGAGTGTAGTGTTTCCCTACCCCTGATACCGAGAAAAGTAAGTGCTCTGTGTTGTTTTTTCTTTTGTTGCTGAGTTTCAGCATAGCTAACATTTCTGTGTACCTACGAGCTCCTTAATAGGGTGTGTGCTGTAACATAACTTACACCTATGAAATGGCATTTGCTGCACTTGGCAGTCACTTCAGTAAGTGTCCTGTGCACCTTCAATGGCATAATTCCTTCAAACTTTTTTTTTCCCCTTGTCTGGCACATCATTTTCCCGTTAATGAAGATTTCTTTGTATTTTGTTTTTGCTCACTAGAAGTTGAGAGAGGAATATATATTGGGAGGTAGGGTGTTGGGTATTGTTTTGGGTTTTTTTAAGAGGCAGGCAGTTTGGGGATTGTGTTGGGTTGTTTTACAAATAAAGACCTGCAAATGGACAGATACTGTCTTTGCTCTTGTTAATGGGTGAGGAGGAAAGGAAACCAAAGGCTTAAGTGTTTTCTGCTGTCTTCTGTGCCTCTTGCTGCTCTTTTGTGTACTTGGAAATAGTTTTCTGCATGAAGATGCACAGTCCCCTGTTAGAACACTTTACCTGAAAACTTGAATGATGTTTCAAAACTGAAACCAAGGTGTTCCCTTCTTACATCTGATCCTCTACAAGTTTTGTGTACTGTATCCCCCAGAATAAGCAAGCGTGGTCTTCTGTCTCCAACCTGAAATGCAGCATGTTGCTCAAGTTTCAGGTGAGCTTGGTTTACTAGTTGCCTGAAAAAGGGTTACTAGCAGTTAACTTTTACCATAAATATTTTATTTTCCATTATTGCAGGACAGCAAGACAATATGCCACTGAAACAACTAGAGAAGTCTGTAGCCTCAAAGAGCCCACTTCCTCCAACATCCCAGATTCCAGGTCTCAGTGATCTTGCAAAAGCTCCCCATGAAGTGCTGTCTGGGTGCCGCAGGAGGTGGATCAAAGAGACCGATTCAGCTTACGTCAAGCTGGTGAAGCAAGGAGGCCAACCTGGTGAGCATCTGTCTCGCTTCTTTTGTTTTTTCTTTGTTTTCTTTGGCTTTGCTTGAGTGTGGTGGTAGAAAGTGCTTGTAAATACTGCAGAAACCCTCTGGCGTTTTGAAATTAACCTATAGTAAAAATGAGCAATTGAAAATGTGACATAAGAGATCACCTTGTCAAGACTTCCTTGCAGTCTCTTGTGTATAGGTACCGTTTAGCAAAATGTGTACTTTTACACCGTATCTCATCTGAGTAGGTGATGATGGTTTAGCTGCATTTGAGTAAGGTCTTTACAATTTATGCTTGGGCTATTTAAGTAGCAGTGTAGTGAAAATGCTGTCCCAGAAAAGCATCATCAGAAGACTTGGAAGAGGTTTATAAAGTGTTGGGTTTTTTTATTGTGATGAACAGTTTGTTACAGTGCTTACATACTCTGTTCATGTACCAAGGTGATCCACAGTTTTGTTATTTCCTTTATTGAAGAAAGAAGCTTGAGGAACTTGAGCAGATGCCTTGCATGTACGCTTAGAGCAGGGTGGCAAATCCAGAAATATGAATTAACAGATCAGTAGAAACATGTCAAAGCATTTATAGTAAGATAAACAAGGTACAAGTGGAATGCAATGCTGCAAGGTTCGGACAGTCCATTTTATCAAGGGAGACAGATGCTTCTTGCTGAACAGAGCAAGCATTTCTTCTGGATAAAACAGCAACCTGAAAACAAAGGTAGTGCTTTTGCATTCAAATAAGAAGCCAGAAAAGTAGTGGATTTTGTCTTTTTCTCTCAAGACTTACTGAAGTAAGTCATGTGATAACGAAGTCCTCGCCAACATCATATGCTGTGCCTGACTGGTGCTTGCACTGCTCTCAATCTCCAGCGACTGATAAGCCACGCTAAGTCTGCTGAGACCCCACATAACTTCTTGGGTTTTCTCTTCACCCATTAGTGTTTCAGAATGCTTTTTTATTAAAGTGCAAGATATGTATTTATTGGACAAAAAAGTGTTAAATCTTTGCCTGCAGGAGCTATGTATCCTCTCTACCCGATTGTATGATTCACAGAGAGTTTAAGGCGGATGACCATCATGGTAACAGTTACGAGACAAGAAGAGGGCCTTTTGATTTTGATATGAAAAGTGTTTGGCAGCAGAATGCTGAGGACAAAGAAAACACAGAGAAAGAGAAGGTATGATGGAGAAGCACTCTGTGACAATGATTTGTTTGTAGAGCTTGTAAAGACATTTCTAGCTGGGCCTGTGGGTTCTTACAGCAGGGAAGCTGTTGTCCACTCAAGTTTCTGTATTCCAGAAGCAATTCTTATGTTGTGGTTAGAGAATGTCAAGAAAGACATGTTTTTAATTAAGTGCTGCAGGTATAGCATATGAACCAGAAATGCAGTTTCCAGTCACATTATATGGTACATGTACTTAAGTGTGAATGAAAACCAGTAGTTAGTTTCTATCTTCTTATGCTTTATTTCCCTTGCAATTCACTCTTGGTGAAGAGAGTTCTTGTTTAGTGATCTTGAGGGAGGAAGAAAGAAGGAAGAAGGAACAGAAGCCCATTCCAAAAAAGGGGTTTGTTTTAGCTTAAAACGCAAGAGTCCCCAAAGAGACTGCACTAGCTGTCTTTGAGTGGAAAATGTATCCAAGACAAAAATAAGTACAGAGCAAGCCATGCCCAGAACAAAGTTTTCTGTGATGATCTTTTAATTTTGTCCTGGAAGCTTCTCTTTCATTCTCCCTCTTTCATCTTCCCTCCCATTTTAGATGCTGAAGCCTTATGTTTTTTAATATCCTCCTTAATCGTGGTTTCCTCATTTACCATAGGTCTTTAGAGTCTACTTGGCATTTAATGTACTTGAACACCAGTACCTCCCTTCTTGAACAGAGAGGCAGATGTTGGGTGTTTTAAGAAAGAAACGAGTAACTAGTGCAGATTCAGAATGATGGCTATGTGTAAATGGGAACACACCATTTCTGAATAGGCTTGGGTGTGATTACTTACCAACAGTAAGTAAACAGGCAAACAAGCAATGTATGCTTAAACTGTAACTTGCCTAGTGCTTTTTGCAGCACTAGGTGAAGCAGTAGGTGAAGCTTTTTTCCCAACCAGAGATTTGAGGCACTGAAAATAAAAACTCAGCCTGCTATCCTGCCTCTTAAAGGATCGAACTAAAAGTCCTGTCCCTTGCTCCTTTACTTAAGAACCAATTATATTCAGCACTCTAAGAGTCATATTTAACTTTGATAACAGCAAATGTATCTTAAGTCCATGTGGCGATTGGTAAAGTGGGACTGAGGTCCATTTCTGTTTGGATGGAGTTTGATCAAGACCCCGTTTCATTCAGTCATGTGTTTTATTTATCACCAAATACAAAGTGAATGTATGTTACATATTCTGCTCGGGTTCCAAATCTGCTGAGGCCCTGATACGTAATTTACACTGCTCTTCTGGAAGCTGAAGTTTAGTTTTGTCTAAGGTTTACCTTAGACAAATTAATTCACCAAATCTTTTTCTTTAACATTAGATGCCTGAGAAGGCAGATTCTGTGTCTCTAGCTTTAGCTCTCCCTCCACACCACCACCTCTGAAATGATTATCCTTCACAGTACCTTTCTTGTGCCCTGAAAAGCATCTCATGTATCTTGAAACATCATGTGGTGCTTCTTTCACAGCTATTTCTTGTATCTCCTCTTATAGAAGGTTTCTATCCCATGGTTTAAGAGAACCTTGCTGAGGAGTCTGCAAGTGAGACAATGGAACTAGCACTACCAGACAGTTTTTATTTTAGTTTTCTCACTGTGCATCTTATATGTTGAAATGCAAGAGAAGTATTCCAAAATACTGCAGGCAAGTTTCTAAGCAATAGTCAGTTTACTTGTCTGACTATGTGATGACACTGCAGCAGCAAACTACTTCAAGTATTGAGACCGCATGTGTTGAAAATATTTTTCAGTCCCATCTGACTAAACAGTTGTTCAGAAGAGAGAAATCGCAAAAGGCTTCCTTAGGGACAAGTGCAAAAACATTTTAACCTCTAAGGGAACCTGTTATACTCAGTTTGGAAAACATTGTTCCCAAGTGGGCCCTTGCTCTGGAGCTTTAAGCCTTTATGCCACTTTGTTCTGAAGTATTAGAGTCTCTGCTGTTCCTCATACTACGCTTGTCACTGCATAGAGGAGGACTGGAGATCGGGGGAAACATTACATGGTTCTCCATGCCTCAGGATGGATCCTATAGTTCCTCCCTAACTCATGGGGATAATTATTCTTATTCTGGAAATTTTGCAAAGCAGCAAAGACATGTTAGTGCATGAAGGATTTAGCCTTTCTGCTTATGGCAAAGTGATGGACTATAAGCCCAAGTGGAAACATCCTTTCACTTATGCCTCATGTGGACCAGCTGGGTTGGGTTGAAAACGCTATGAAGTTTAGAAAGAGGCAGGCCTGTGAATGGGTGAGAGATCAGTTGGAGGTGGTAGGAGGGTTAGCATCAGCATTAGGCAATCTTCCTGTGGCACCAGTAAGATTACTACTTCATGTCTGAAGTCACCTCTTTCAGGCACTTGCCCAAAATGTGTCTGTAGATATGCATATGTACATATGTGCTGTAGCAAAAGGATTACTCATCTGAGGTCAGGGTTTTAGCTCAGAAAGGGATTTGAAATGTAATGTAGAATTTTTCCCTTCATTGCAGGGGAGCCAAGGTTTAATCTGGAGGCTTTTAGCTTTCCATGCTGGCAGCAGGTATCCATTGTTCTTCATATATGAGCCAGGAACAATACACAGCATATTTTGTGTTTCTTGAATCTGAACGTGTATGTGCAATAAATTTAGGTTAGGATGTGTCATTGCCATCTCTTCACAAAGGAAGAGAATGCTTTAAACTGAGAACATGTAAAAAATGTCCTACATAGCTTGATTTATCAGGGAAACTTGACAACTGTTGAACAGAGGCTTGTCAAAGTGAAAATGCCTCCTCAGCTATAAGCACTGGGGCATAACGGCACAAAAGTCAACTTTTAATGTTGAATTTGCCCAGCAGAGTAACAAGCAGCACCTGTGCCCTCCAGAGCCGAATTCTGATCTGTTCCCTTGCTCCTTTGTCCCTCATTAGCTGATTTGAACAGTAGGGAATGTTTTGGTATCTGCTAGTTATGCTAGCCTGTCTCTTTTACTGCCAAGAAAAGAAAGACATCATTTAAAGGAGTGTGCGAGACTCGCTAGCAGCCTTCAAGTTTTTTCTCATTGCCTTTCCCCCCTTTTATCCTTGCCTTTAGTTTTGACAGTGAAGGCTTTGTCTGTCTCTAGGCTTTCTACCTTCCCCTACACTTTAACTCTTTAATTACTATACGTCCTTTTCTAATGCTTCTCTTCAGTGCCAGTAGAGTCTCAACTCTTTACATCTAGTATTTGTGTATCCTGCCTATCAAATCGTGTTTCTGTGTTGCCGTGTGTGCTGTCATGTCTTCAATATGTGACAAAAGTTACCCGAGATTGATGATTTCTAGTTGTCTAATTAAATAGGTTCTGTCAGTTGAAACTGTAGGTAACTGTATCCTGGATCTGAAACTTCCATGGTATGTCGGATCTGAAAAAGCAGAAAACGGTGTACCATTTTTTGCACAATAGGATAGCATTTTTGAAATGTAAAGCACAAACAGGCAGCTTCAGCTGAGAACAGGATTAATGGATTTGAAAAGCAGTTCTAAGCAGCTAGCATTTTTTAACTTCCAGGTTGGACAACAGTCCCCTCTCTTCATTTGACATCACTGCACGCTTTTGCTAGTATCATCTCTTCTTCTTTGATAAGTGTCCAAGTTTTTCATCTCTTCAAGCTTCAACATAACATCAGTCAGGCTGAAATCTAGTTTCTCTACCTGTCATTAGCAAGTGAAAGACAATAAAAGTAAAATACACTTTTCCATGTAGGCTTCCCCCAATGTATCGGTAATTGTTCAAATTTCAAACCTCTATTTGATGTACCACAACTGTTTACTTATTATATGGGATGGTTTATAATTTAAAAAAAAGGGTAGTAGTAAACTGGAAATTAATTTCCCACTGACTTTAGTAAGACTGGGATGTTTTCATACACTGCATATGGAGAAATGAGTCAAGGTGAGAGGTTGCAATGGGTAGGTTTGAATTTGAAGCTTAACTTTGGGTAGAAGTGAACTGTGAGGTAAAAGCTTGGGGAGAGCCCATTTTGCATAATTGACATACTGAGCAAATCGCTGATCTTATCTAGAGTAACTAACTAAGGTGCTGCTTTATCTTTTGCTATACCTTTATAGTCTTCTACTCTTACTTATGGAAATAATATAGATAAGATAGTAAACTTTTAAGACCTTCACTTTTGAAGGTTATATTACCATTATATCGGGTCTATCTGATATAGAGTTAATATTCCCCATAGCAGCCCTCATTGTGCTGTGCTTTGTATTGGTAGCTAGAAAGGTGTTGGTAGCACACCAGTGGTTTGGTTACTACTGAGCAGTGCTGGGACAGGATCAAGGGTCTCTCTCCAACTTTCCCCCCTCACCAGTAGGCTGGATTGTGGTGGGTTGACCCTGGCTGGTTGCCAGGTGCTCACCAAAGCCACTCTATCACGCCCCTCCTCAGCCAGACAGGGGAAAGAAAATACAGTGAAATGCTCATGGGTTGAGATAAGAACAAGGAGAGAATTACTGTCATGGGCAAAACAGACTTCACTTGGGGAAATTAGTTTAATTTATTACTAATCAAATCAGAGGAGGATAATGAGAAATAAAACCAAATCTTAAAAACACACCCCCACCACTCCCTTTTTCCCGGGCTCAACTTTGCTTCCAATTTCTCTACTTCCTGCCCTCCCAGCAGTGCAGGGAGACAGGGAATGGGGGTTGCAATCAGTTCATCACATGTTGTCTCTGCTGCTCCTTCCTCCTCAGGGAGAGGACTCCTCACGCTCTTCTCCTGCTCCAGTGTAGAGTCCCTCCCACAGGAAACAGTCCTGCATGAACTTCTCCAATGTAGGTCCTTTCCACAGGCTGCAGTTCTTCACAAACTGCTCCAGCATGAGTCCCTTCCATGGGGTGCAGTCCTTCAGGAACAGACTGTTCTAGTATGGGTCCTCCATGGGGTCACAAGTCCTGCCAGCAAACCTGTTCCGCTGTGGGCTCTTCTCAACATGGGTCAATAGGCCCCTCCAGAAGCCTGCTCCAGCATGGGCTTCCCATGGGGTCACAGCTTCCTTCAGGCATATTTACCTGCATCTCCGGCTGCAGGTGGATATCTGCTCCACCATTAACCTCTGTGGGCTGCAGGGGGACTGCCTGCCTCACCATGTTCTTCACTGTGGGCTTGCAGGGGAATCTGCTCCAGCACCTAGGGCACATCCTTTCCCTCCTTCACTGACCTCAGTGTCTGCAGAGTTGTTTCTCTCTCATATTCCCACTTCTTTCTCTGGCTGCTGCTGTGTAGTCATGTGTTTCTGACCCTGCCTCCTCCTGCTTCTTAACTCTATCACTGAGGTGCTGCCACCATCGCTGATTGGCTCGGTCTGGGCCAGCAGTGAGTCCGTCTTGAAGCTGGCTGGCTTTGGCTCTGTCAGACAAGAGGGAAGCTTCTAGCAGCTGCTCCCAGAAGCCACCCCTGTAGTCCCCCCACTTCCAAAACCTGGCAATGCAAACCCATTACAATCATATAATATTCTTTGTTATTTTTATCATAACTTCTTTTATTAAAATTTCTCTTAACACAGGTGAAGCTTCCTGCTATAAACCTTAAATATCCAGGCAGAACACCAGATGTTTCTACAAACAAGGAATTTAGTGGGAAGAGTAAGCTTTCCTTCCCACCTATGTAAGTAGTACAGTTATGAAATTCATTAAACTTCTAACCCTGCAACTGTTCAAGCATGCAAGTAATACTCCTTGTGAAATTGCAGAGATTAGTGAACGTGTATATGTACCTGTGGATCCTTACTTGTACTAAGCTTACTATCATGTGTGATACCAAAATAGTTTTACAAACAAGTAAAATAATAGCACTTTAACTCATACAGGAAAGCTATTCAAATACAACTGTGCTTTATGAAAACTGAGCATACAGTTGCATGTCTTCATGTAGCACACTTTTATTGTATTCTTAACTGTCTGTTTTTGTTTGTTTGTTTTTTTTTAAATACCAGTGAACAGATGCAAGCTGTAATGTACATTGTTAGTTCTGTAAGCATAACAAGTAGGACCATTTTCAGAAAACACATAAACTGTAGCCTGTATAAGGTCAGGCACAGCAAAAATATTGTACTGAACACCTGGAAGATAATACTATTTTAACCAAATTTTTGTATCACTTATGATGCAATGTAATCACATCATCAGCTGTGTGTACAACTGAATTGTTTCTGCATACTTTGTCTTAAAAATTTATTACACAATCATCAGTAATCATAGTACGTTTTAGAAACATGATAATGATGCAAAATAACTGATTAAACTGTCTAATGAGCTTAAAAGCAAATCTGTGACAAAATTTCACCTTTGTGTAGCATGGAATGAGTATTGTCAGCCTTTTTTACTTACACATTCTTTGTGTGATTTCAGTTTTTCATCTCTTAGACTAGGACTGTGTAAGTATTATACATGTTAAGTTCCAGTAAAATGGACGACTCTTCTCATGTAAACAAGCAGATGATTACATGTAAAATATATGTGTAGTTACTTAGAAATAAATTATGTTATAAGGCTATTGTTCTTTCTGTGCAAAATAAAATTTTTCCACCTAATCCCCATTTTTGTTTACTCATGGTGTTGTTTTCCTTAATATATTTGGAGTTACAGCCCTGCTTAGAGAAAAAGTGAAGCAATAAACTTTAGCATATTAATTAGCAATGGTTATGGGACTGGTTTCAGCAGTGTACTGGATCGGGGAAAAAGATTCAAGAAACCTCAGATAACAGTGAGCAATCCAAAGGTAAAATTATTGAAAGCTATTTATTTTAAATTGAGTTGGGATCTCAAGGTAACAGGAGAGGGTAGCCTGAATAATTTGTGTGGCTTTTTTGGATATGATGAGACTTACTGAATTACCATACTTAGCTTTCAATACCCTATGACCAGCTAAAGAAAAAAGTGCTCCTGTTTGTAGTCAGCAAAGGCAGGGGCTTTCATGGATTTTTTTCATCTTTACAATTGCAAAACTACGCTGTGTTCCCATCCCAGGGCTTCTGTGTGATGTGTTTTTGTAAAATGCTGCAGACACACAGTTGTCTTTCTGCCTAAATTTAAGCAGACCGTAAAATATTTGTTCCCTATTTGTTGTTAGTAGACTTTAGCCCCTAGTATTTTTCTGGAAACTTCTGTGACAAATGTAATCGATACTCATGTGTCATGAGTATTTTATGTTCATAAAAATTTGTCAAAATATATGTATTTGTGTTGTTGAAGACAGTGGAGTTGTAACAGATCTATTAGAGAAAAAGTTATCTGATGTTTACGTATGATTTCAAACCTTACTTTTTCATGCACAATGGTAATAGCTGTGAAATGCATCACTTGAAAACACTTGAATGTAAAGGATAAAGGGCGGAAGGTTCCCCTTACAGCTGTCAAAGACCTTTTGCCTAGGCTTTTTACAATGGCTTGGTAACCATGGTGGGTATATCAGTTTTGTATAGAAACCTTTTAAAACACTATTGAACATACATGTTGCAAGCCCCAGAATTTTTTTTTCTTTAATGTGAAATGTGCCTCTAATGGGACATTTGTGATATAAAGGGAGCTGAAGATTTTTCAGAGTAATCATGATATTGGTTTGGTTATACCACTCGGACATAGAGAACAAAATGATAAGCATACTGTAAAGGCTACTGAAAAGTCAATATGCTGCATGGTTTGATATATAGACATATCTTACTTTTGAGATGCATTTCTTTCACATATTCTTAGATAACATGACCCTTGCTTTGCTTGTATTGCCCTTTGTCAATCATAGCTATTCTGATTGAGGTTGATTCTGTATCTTAGTGTAAAAGGAGATTTTTAAAAAGCTCTTCACAGTATAGTACCATGCAGACATGTACCTTGATTCAGTTGTGATGTTGTCCTTTTCATTCAGATATGTGCTGAAGGCACTGTTTTTATTTGCTTCCCACTTGGTTACTTTTGTCTGCTCATCCAAAGCAATTGGCAGCATGAACACTTTGCAGCTACCTTCTGAGATGGAACTTTCTGTGTTCTCTTGCACAGGATAAGTCCAAGACACATCAGATAAGAGATGTAAACCATTCCATATGTAAATTTATTATCCATTTGTGTTGAGTTATAGATTTGCATCATACTGCAAACTGTGTAGGTAGCTTGTCTATCTTGTTAGTTTAAAATGAAAAGTACTGGATTTTCATGTTGACGTGAGAGAAACAGAAAATTTTAGTTGAACCTTTTTATTCTTATGGTTGAAGTTATCCTAAGAACTCTGATCTTTTTTTTGGTTTTTTTTTTTAATAGCCAATTCAGAGCCATCACAGTCTGAACCAGCACCTGCAAGCAACGAGTCAAAGCCACCATTTTAGGGTTGTAATAGGTAACTTAAAAGACTGCTGGGGAAAGTAAAGCCTTATATGGCTTATGTAGTCCACTATTTACATATTTGTTAGAGTACTTGTTATAGTTGAACTTATCTGTGATTGAGAAGTTAATTTGGTTTATAATATGGATGAACTTCACTGTGCTTGATCACAGCAAATCTTAAAAGAACAGGCAACAGCTGTCAGTGTGTATTCCTAGACTTTTTCTTAATAGAATAAATAAAATAAAGCAAAAGCAAAGTTCTCTTCTACGTCAAACTAATTCCTTCGCTGTTGTCAAATAGGGTTACCATATTGCTGCTGATTTGACTAGACATGGGCACGATATTGATGTGTCCGAACCAGCAAGTGTCTTTATTTAACTACTGTTAGACTTAGGACCATTGCCATAAAGAATATTGAAGGGGAACTGCATAGTATGGGATGAAATCTAAATGGAAAGTATTGAACTGGTATGGATACTTGCAGTAAAAAAGTCAAACCTGACCAGTAGGAAAACTCTCACTTGTCATGAAAGACAAGCACTACAGAATAAGCTTGTGTGAAGAAATCGTGGGTGTATAACAGGCAAATTGTTGATACTTTTAGGATATCAATGCAGTAATCAATCACCAGTAGCTACATGATGTTCTCCAAAAAATAAGTACCACTTTATGAATTTTTCAGAATTATTCAGTCATATGAACATGACTTATCTGGGAATTCAGCTATCTTTATTTGATAGAGTTTTCAGATAAGGTTTTAATTTTTATTTTTAGTGTCTGTAACAAAGTGCAATACAGGGCTGGGTTTGTTGTGTCCTCCAATGGTAAACTGTAACAATAAAGTAAATTTTGTATATGACGGCCCTTGTAGCATACTTTAAGGGTATAACTATCAGCAATAGTACTACTTTTCAGTCCTACTTTGATCTTCTGATTCCTGTTATCATAGGAAAAACTTCTTTTGGAAATACTGTTTGCGGTTACATTCTTTACTGGCCAAAACCTAAAGGGGAAATATGAGATGATGATGAAACTCTCTGGAGTTAAGTTGCTTAACTTTATGCTCATCAGTTGAATAAGATGATGTTTTGTTCTTAAGCATATGTTGAATCCATTTCAATCTTTTGTTTTTAGAGAGTTTTCTGAGAAGTGTTTTAGTACAAATTTACTGAAAAAGTTGACAGTAATGTTATGACCGAAAAAAACCCAAAACCAAACCACCATGATTTTTTAAAAGTATTTACAGATTTATAGATCACCTGTTCACACAGACTTGAAGGTGCTTGCTGTGCCAAAGCTCTCAAAATCTATTCCATAAAATAAGAATTCCTGGGTGGCTGCAATACTGCTGACCTGCAAACAAGAACTCTAATTCTTTTCTATCTGATGGTCTCCTTTTCTCCTTGAGATCTGTACAAAGTTTCCTAAAGTAACTTTGTTACTTTGAGTTGTTTGAAGTCCCCTTCACTTTTTTGCTGAGTATTGTTGTTCATGTCCAAAATGGTCATATTTTTAGGCAAACATTAGAGGCAGAGATAGAAAGAGAACAGAGACCCTAACTTGGTTACTGAGCGCTGTTATTTTGCTTTACTCTAACTGTGTTCTTCGAAGTGTTTATAGTGCTTGTTTTCAGATTTTTAAAAGTATATGCCATATCTTATAGTAAAAATTGTCTCTTTTTACTTTGATCACCATCAGGTAATATCCACGTGACATTCCTCAAATTCTTAAAAGTTTGCTAATGTGCCATTAATGTATATAGAGCTTTCCTTAGTCAAGCCAAGGAGACATTTGATCTGCTCTGTTGGTCAACTGAGTCTTCATGGATCACAGTTTGAATACCAGGAGTTAGAATATTAACAGCCTGAAGTGCTGCTTCATACTAAGATTTCTCTTTATAAGAAGGGGTGGAGAACCCTGGAATCTGTGCCTTCAGAATACTGGAGAGCTGCAGCAGAAGCAGCACTTACCAGCTCTCCAAGGGATATCAAATCAAAGAAGTGTAACAAATCACAAAGTTGAGTTGAGTTCACCTTATCCCAGTAATTATGTAGCTTTATTTATTTCGGAGTCAATGCAGTCATGCAACTGGCAGTTTTCAAAGCCGTCAGCAGTTCCATGTAAAAGCAGTGGAAGCTTCTGGGTCCAGAAGGGGTTTCAGTGTTTGGTTTTCAGAGGGGTGCAGAAGTCAAAAGTTGGGTGCTTAATTACAAAATCTAGCCTTATTGTTTTAAATGCTAAAGTGTTTATTTAGTTATGCTACATCTCTGCTCTGGATGCCTTTAAGTAATGAGATTTCTTTTTTTGAATACTGATTGCTTTGCAAGCCCAAAGATAAAACAAAATTGCAGTGCCACTTTGTGAATTACATCCAAGTATACTGAATATGTGAATATTTTTAAAAGACAATTCCAGGTGCAGATTTTAAAATAACTTGGCAGTTTAGGTACAGAAGAGTAACTTTCATTTGACATGCAACCATTTAACTGTAGCAAAGTCTAATGGCTCTTTTCATTTTAACGTGACCAAATACAAACTTCAATCTTACCACTTACGTCTTTTTTTGACTGGACTAAAATATAAATGTGTTTCTAGAGATCACAAGTATATATACATTAACTTTGCATAGCAAGGCAAACAAAAAATGAACTAGCCCATGCCTTTCTTAAGCATCTGAAATTTCATTGACTTAGGCATATCTGTTTCTTAAACACTCCTATCTCTGATGAATGTGCGAACTTAGTTGTAAAAGATGTAGGATGAAGCCAAACTTTCTTCTGTAAACAAACAGCCTAATATTCTGGTTTTGCAGTTCTCTGCAGATTACTTTTCAAAATGTAGCTAAATATGCTGTACCCTGGAAAAAAGCTAGAATTTGAAATGTAGGAATTCACTCATAGCACGTTTTGTCATTCTGTTAATAGCTTTAATGATACTAAAGATCCAAAATGACTGAAGAATCAAAATGCAGTAGGTGTCTGAACAGCTGTGCGGAATTATTTGACCAATTAACTATAAAAATGGTCTGTGGCAAGCAGAAAGGAGTACATTTTTGATTATAAAAGGACAGACAGCCTTAATTTTCCACAGAGGCAAGTTTTTATCCATGCAATATAAAAATCTGGAAAGTGAGGTCAGTTGCAGTTTTTGTAGTTTATTTTTTTAATAACCCCAGTATGTAGTTGTGTATTTTTCACCCTTCTATTATAACATTCATTAACATATTTTGTATTTTTTCTTAAGAGGCATCTTTCTCACTAGAATATAAAATGAAATGAAACTCCAAAGATTACAAAACCAGAAATTTTCAAGCCAATTTAAATTTTTAAAAGTTTTCTAGAGATAATGGAGAGCAAAAGTTACAACCAGTTATGAGACTCATAGATAAGCAGTATTTATTGAACATTTCAGACAAGGTAACTATAGTAACCTGATTATTCTTTATTTATAAAAGAAGTAATTTACACTGATTATTCACTTAAAACATAGCTGAATGACAAGCCTCCTGAAAGCCAAATCAGATTTTTCAGTGGACCCTGAAAAGAAGGGGTAGGTAATATTCCTGTTTAAAGGAAAAGTTTCTTCCATAAAATTAAAATACTCTTCCAAGGTGCTTATTTTGGAGTGCCCACTACCATAGCTTTCAAGCTTTGACAAATACTCAAGAAACAGAAAAACAGAGACGCATTAGGAGACTGTGCTTCTATTTTACCTATTAGAGATTTAAACAAGTTGAACAGGTGACAGATCTTTCTTATTTCTCTTGTATGCCATTCATGGCCAGAAATGCATCTGTATGCAGAGAATTTCTTTCTCTGATATCCCCATACAAAGTCCTTTGGTGTGAGACAGGAAATCAAGAGACTTGACTCTAAATGCCCAATACATGATTTTGTAATAAATACATCTTGGCAATGTCTTGTGCCGAATGTATTTCCCTCCTGATGTACACAAGGTGATGCACCAAGAAACTTTTACTTGCTCTGTCTCCGAAGAATTCCCTACTATGACAATCTACAGTGTGGTTCTGGTAGGAAAAATTATTTTTAAAACTGTATTGCAGGACTCTGGGTTTAATGTCTTCAGTTACTGTATGAACAATGTTAAATTTATTGTTACAGAGTGCTTTATGATTTTTTTGCCTTGTTTTTGCTTTAGATTTCTTGCTCATTGATGGAAAAGGATAATCCTTTAATCATTTTAAATTTGTTTCCAGCTTGAACCAGTTGTGCCGGACTAAGTCTGCCTTCTCTTGGAAGAACTAATGTTTGGCCTACATCTCTTAACAGATTACATAAAAATTAAGAGACTTGATTCTGTAGGATAGACCTAGGAAAGTGTGTGTCAAGCTAAATGTATTTTGCAGTCTCTTTCTAGGTTCCTTGTAATTGCAAAACTTGTAGGATTGTAGCTCTATTTCCATTGCAAATGTTACTTCTGTAGCTAATTGTGTTGGATCCCTCTTGCAAATGTTTTCCTCTCTTGTTCAGGACCTTGCTGGTGCTTCATGAGGAAGAGGTATCACTCTTTCAGAAGTAAGATGGGCATGAGCTAAATTCACAGCTTGGTTTCACTTATTTTTCTCATGATAATTGGCCTTGCTTTAGCAGGTCAGCTCTATGAAAGTAACACTGGAGATGCCACAGCTACCTTTGTGCTGCACTTGCCTGTCTGGCTTTAGAAGCTGTATTTATATTTTGTATTTCCTTGCTTTACAAAACCTTGAACTTAGCAAGGAGCTATTTCATAGCAAGTTGTTGAGAATCTGTTATTTTTATTTTAATCAGAGGGGACTTGTCATAACTTTCTGAATCGTCAAACAGTTGCAGGCTATCTGCTTTGGTGATGCAACTTGTTATGATTGGTGTTCAAGCTTAAAAGATCATCTGACTTAAGATGGTGTTGTCACACTCTCTAGGTTTTTATGTATGTTTAGCATGCCAGACATAAATCAGGTCTTTGTTATAATGAAGATTACCCTTTGGTTGTGTTGGTTTGATC